TGGTACAGATAAAAGTATAGGTTTCCGCAAACTGGATAATGAGGTACGTAGAATATTTTACCCAGTAGTTCAGGACAATCAACATTTCCGTTCACAGTTTTAAAGAGGAAAGAGAAATCTGCAATATTTCTTCGCTCATATAAAATAAGATGGGTATATACTTTTTTTTATTTAAATTGTAAAAAACTTAAAATCTTTTTTGTATGCGCTCTATCCTGCCTACATTTACATTATCTTTATATATAAAAGGTACGTGTCACATTGTTTGTCCGCGATGAAGTCTTAAACTATTGGACTGATTTCAATTAAATGTTTCACAATGTGTGGAGGTTGGTCCAACTTGAGAGATCTAAACTAAACAATCTAATTTAATGTAATATGTATTACTTGAGAGACACATTGTGTTTTCATGCGATGGCCAAGTTAATCTATTTAAAACATATTTTTTTTTTAATATTGATATGGTCACTATAAGATATTGTTAGGTTAGCTAATTACGTAATAACTTAAGACAGAAGGACCCTTAAGTAGGTACTGAATAAATTAACCGACTTGGTATTACATGGATCTCACAACTTTTTACGGTAGAAGAACTGAGTTGCGAGACTTGGTTTTTTTCACAAGTTATGTTTTTGATGGCATTTAACTTACAAGTATAAATTATGGGATTAGGTTGACGAGTAAATAAGCAGATCTTTTTAATGGTCTTTTTAAAGGTAGGTAAAATAACCGATGAAGTCAACGAGCACCTGGACAATCGTAAACACGTGCTTGTTGTCTTTATTGAGATATTGATTTTAATTTATTCTTCAAAAGCTTTTGAAACTTAAAATTATGTCATACTCACTGAGAAACTAAAGCAAAATGGATAACCGGGACCTTTGTTAGACTGGTTTATTAATTATTTTATTAATTATCATAAAAATAGATAAACGGTAGTATGCTTGGCTGGAGAGCAGAGTGATGAGATTTTAACAGAAGATGGTACGGCCCAAGATTCAGTGCTCGGAGAAATCGCCCATGATATCTCTAAAGTGTTATCACAGGCCTCTTTTTACCAATTTGCTGATGATACATGCTTAGTAGTTTCACATAATAGTATCCTAGAGACTAAAAAAAACTAATTTGATCAATTGTGTAAATTGGCTCATAATGTTGGTCTAGCCATCAATGCGAATAATTTAAAATTAAAATTTTTTTGTAACCGTCTTCAATATAAATTATTAAGAATAACTCAAAAACTATTAGTCAGACCTCAGACCCAGATCAAATTAATATGAGACCACATGTGAAGCACCAGCTTTCAAATAAAAAAGAATCATCGAAATCGGTTCACCTAGTAAAAAGTTATGAGGTAACACACATAAAAAAACACAGTCGAATTGAGTACCGTCTCCTTTTTGAAGTCGGTAGCAAAAATAAAATTATTGCATATTTAACTCATCTTTTAAGAACAAAATGCATACATATTTTGTAGTGGCCCATGAACACACTTGTCAACACAAACAACCCGCTCAGTAACTGCCGTAAACTCGATCTAGTTCTACAACATTTATGTATTACTAGCTGTTCCCCGCGACTTCGTTCGCGTGTTAGGGTTTTTATGTTTCTGCGCGGAACCCTGATTCTTTTTCTAAAATAAAAGTAGCCTATGTTACTCCTTATGAAATCAGCTACCTTCCAGTGAAAGTCCCGTCAAAATCGGTCCAGCCGTTTCGGAGATTACCCGGAACAAACAGACAGACAGACAGACAGACAAAAATTTTAAAAATTGTATTTTAGTTATAGGTATCGTATTTACTTTCATATGCATTTAGTAAAAAACTGTAATTTTGACATTACAAACAGACACTTCAATTTTATTTATTTGTATAGATTTGTATAGATATGAGTAATCTTAAATAAGAGATATCTATACTAATATAATAAAGCGGAGGAGTTTTTTTTGTTTTTTTGTTTGTTTAAACGCGCTAATCTCTGGAACTACCAGTCCGATTTGAAAAATTGTTTTTGTATATTATAGCCAGATTCATGTGGAATAGTATAGGCTATCTAGCATTAAGCTATATTACTCAGCTAGCCTTAAATTGGGATATTTATTAAGCAAGTCAGAAGAAAAAGCACTCCCGAAATGATTTATCCGCGTCGCTGGTGTTATCGTTAGGGATACGTAAATACAATGTTCTAGAAAAATATAGACCTTTACTCCGTCTAAAAAAAAGTCCGCGATACCATATGTCTATTTCTTATACATAAGCCATAATTTGGTATTTTCTGACAAAAAAATATTGAAAATTTAAAAGTGATTTATGAGCGTTATTATTAGGCATGGCCTATTTATCCATACGAACGAAAGTTACTTCATCATCAAGACAATTTTATGAAGATAAACTTTGTTCTTTATACCATGTTATTTGGACGCATAGTTTAAGAGATAATGTAAAATTAAAATAATTCAATACTTGGCTGGGCGCGCGAACGACGCTTAAACCCTAGCCGTTATAAAATTCTTGAACCTAAATGCATATGAAAGTAAATACGGTACTTATAACTAAAATACAATTTTTATAATTTTTGTCTGTCTGTCTGTTTGTTCCGGCTAATCTCCGAAACCGCTGTACCGATTTTGACGGGACTTTCACTGGCAGATAGTTGATTTCATAAGGAGTAACTTAGGTTATTTTTATTTTAGAAAAAGAATTAGGGTTCCGCGCAAAAACATAAAAACCCTAACACGCGAGCGAAGTCGCGGGGAACAGCTAGTCTATACATATAAATAAAATTGGAGTTAAAGACAGATAATATTGAAATAACAGCCTTTTATAGACGCCAATGGGTTATTTGCATACCATTAAGACATAAATAACCATCTGTTAAATATCTGTCTGTCTGTTTGTCTGTCCGGGCAAATCCTCGGAATGGATGAACCGATTGTAGTGAAACTTTACATAGACAGCAATGCCAGGAGTGATATCTACGCTATATTTTATCCGATAGACATGGAGATTTTTTAAAAATGAACGCGAAATCTAGATAACGCCACTTTAATAGATTATACCCAGGCGAAGTGGTATACTATTTAAAATAAAAAAAAATCCTTATAAAACGCTACGGCTTATGTACGTACGTACATTAGCAGATTCTGTTATTAACTATGGATTAAGTGGTTACAATAAAAAATGATATTATCATACAGTCCTACTCCCCGCGGTATCGTGCCATGAACGCTGGCTGCGTTTCCTCGCTGAATGGCTATACTTAGCCTTTGGGCGAGAAAAGCACAGCCCTCTTGTCTCTAGCGTTGCGATCATTCGCGAATACATTGTAGACCACGCGTACCAATAATTTTTACAGCAGACGGCACAACGACTCAAATTTGGACCGTTTACTCAGTTGAGCCTCTTATAAGAAATAAAAGGCCTAAAATAAGAGGCAGCCCAAATGTCTACGATCATGAAGATGAAGGCTGCAAAACGTTTTAGTATCTCACTAAGTGACTTTTAAAACATCTATGTGACGCGATAGCATAATGCATTGTAACATAATATTGAAATGAGTTTCTAGATTCTAGAGTATAATATACAATTTCTTGCCGATACCTCATATTTCAACTGAACATTCTATTTCTGCACTTAAGGTTACTTGAGTGTAAACGATCAAAACGTTGAGCTGATACGTCATAGGAAAACTATGAATAGAATAAGCATATTAAGATATTATGGGAGAAGTTATGTCTCGTAAATTTGATGCGATTTTATATTATGGTGTTGCCAGAGCCAAATTTTCAATTGCCAAATTTGCTGTTAGCAAAAATGTCGTGCTTGTGTGGAATGTTAAAGACCTATCGATCGCCGTAGCATAAAAAATAAAATAGATAAGACGAAGATATGTTTTAAAATAAACTTCCACCATCTCCAGCACACGTCAAATCGTTTTGCATTCCGCTTACATTCTTGAGTTTTTTTGTTCAAGTCCTTGAGATTTTAAACTAGTAATTTCTTCCTATAAATTAATAAAACACATTCGTTAAAGACATGTTACAAGAAAATTGCCATAGATTCAGCTACGTCAATTGAGATGCAGCATAAATTTTGAGAAAAATTTACTCAATTGCCGTAGCGATAGCAACAATGATACTAATTTATAATTTTGTACACTGATTGTTGACCTGGCTTGAAACAAAATTTCTAAAAAATCCAAAATTTGGTTTTAAGGAATTGAATGTGTTTGTCTCCAAATTCCTGACAAGTCTTCAATCCTTTTCATAATGTTCACATTCATGAAATTTTAGATCTTCGATTTCAAATATTTATTACTAAATATTTTTCATTTAAATTTTTTTGCATAATTGTTGTTTGTATTAAAGTTTGCATTTATTGATGAAAAAAGGCACTTAAGGCAGTTCACAACGTTGTGTAACTCTCTACCATAATGCATGGTAGTGAAAGTCGGGTGTGGTCTGGCAGAAGAAGCGTGAGAGTAGAATTAATGCTACAGTAATGCAGTCATTAATTCTAGGGGTGACTCTGAATGATATTATGAGATATTGTGTGATAAAATTGTGTTCTGTGACAGCGTTAAGAAAGGAATTCTTCGCTGGTTTAACACGTAAAAAGATTGAATGAGGAAAGTGTGAGTGCAGAAGTGCGTGACAGAGTCGGCAAAGGGCGCCCTAGACAAAAGTTTATTGACTAAATAAACAGCGTTATATTGAAAATGGGCTAAAATAAGAGTACCCTTAACCGAAGAGCACATATATGGGTAGATAGATGGACGTGAAAGAAGTGAGAAAGGTGTGTCAGGATCGTGTCAAATGGAAGTCCGTATTCTCTGCCTATCCGTCTAGAACAAGCGCAAGAGTTTATGTTTTTCGCTTTACATGAATAATCTTAAAAACTAACATCTATTTGAAGTTATAAGTGACATTGAAGCCTAAGCTAAATTGATCGAAAAATCACCGAACACACCCTTATTGATCGTCTAATACGGGCAACACAAACCTTGGTGAATGAAGCTACAAATTACCGCCAAAATGCAAAGTGACACATGCGCCATTTTGTTATACGTTCGAACGAATATATACGGGCTTGTGCCGGTTCCCGCCGGCCTGTACCGCGCGCGGGAATGCTCACGATGCGACTGACTCGTCACTAGGTGGTACTAACCAACGCTTAGATATTATATCTATGATCTAAATCAACGGTGAGCAGCGTTTATCCAATTGCTGTAATACACCGGAGAATTGGTTAACATACTGTGCTGTCAGTTAGCAATTGATTAGGGTATTGTTGTCAAATATCTGTCTCTGGTTGAGCAATACAGGTAAAGTCAACCTAGGCCTCAATATGAACCAACATAGCTTTTCACAATACTTCGAGTACTTTATAAATCATCATCATCACCAGTCCATTAGTCTTTGGCATTAAACCTTTTTCAACCTACAAATTTTTACTATAGAACAAAATATAAGTAATAGAGATAATTACCAGACAAACCCGATTAAAGGTCAAACTAGTTTTTCCTAGCTAAAGCTAGTGTTTTCTAAGCTCGACAATATCAACTTCGGGAAACGCGGCATGAGGTAACCAAAAAGCCCAAGGGCCACGCCAATTATACGGTATAATCATAGATTAATAATAAGTCATCGCGCGGTCAGAGCGCGCGATGACTTATCATTAATCTATGGGTATAATGTTAATTTTATAAAGTTCTTAGTATCATTTAGAATTCGCATTTTATGTGACCTGCTAAACCCGATTTTAGAAAAAAAAATAATATCAGCGACATTAATATTAGCTTTTATGGGTTTTACAGTAGTTTTGGTAAGCCACTGTAAAGCCGTGAACATCTAGTTCATTCTGTAGAACTTTGGGAAAACTAGTAAATACTAGTTTATCCTTCGCCGGTAGATACGGTTTGCCCCGGTAGCTGCTACGAAATTGACGAACTGCTTTTAGTGCAAAAGAAAGCAAAACTTACGACTACGCTAAATTTATTAAAGAATACATATTAAGTTGTTTTCGCATAGACATTTATGTTGTTATTTTTATGAGTATGATTCCACCTGATGGTAATTGAATGATGTGAATTATATAAATGTACATCTATTTAAGATATACATAATTATTATATAAAAAAACAAAAACTAGTAAACTAACTTAATTATCATACAGTCCTTCTCCCCGCGGTATCGTACCAAGAACGCTGGCTGCGTTTCTTCGCTGAATGGCTATACCTAGCCTTTGAGCGGGAAAAGAACCAGCCCTCTTATCACCAGCAGCAACGACCAGCCGCAGATGGAGTTCCTTTAGGAACTTCACCTCACGTGGACCCCTCTTAATCAAAATACAGATGCGTTGTCACCCCCGAGGACTAAGATGGAATGCGTAGTGAATAAGTGGATTGTGTGCTTTTTTGTCTCCCTTGACTCGATTAAAAAATTACAGCGATATAAAACTCACTTTAGGTGAAGAGATATACACTTTTTTTGTATACTAACAAACAACTGTGCTTTAGTCCCATCAGCACCAGAACGTTCTTTCGTACCAGTCAGTAAAATCTAGACCTAGCCAGTCAAGTTCACACAGAAATTATTCATATGAGTGTTGTACTTAAATGAGATTAGGTCGACCGGTTTACATTATCTTACTGATTAGAAGAACGATTTTGAAGAGTAAATTAGTAGTGTAAACGGTAGCTTTTATTTATAACATGCGGCAGTGTATTAGCCAAGTTCGAAAAAGAAAATGGCAATGAACAGACAGTATATTATTTTCGAAGACTTACAGGGTCTAATAGACCTACACACTTGAGATTTTTCATAACATGAAGCTTGAAATTTGGCATCAAGGTAGATCATTAGGCATATTCAAAATAAATTATCGACAACGGCAAATTATTGATATTCTATGTCGATAAATGTGCGTTTAGTTCTATGTACCTAAACCCACCAATAAGTCGTCAAAGTTATTGCTGCGGTTAATTTCAAACGTTGTACTTAAAACTAAACGTAATAATAATTTTGTCGGCATTTAATTCTAAAATTTTAAATAAAATTACAGTGTATATTATGAGAAAAGCAAGTCAATTTCGGTTACAAATGACTTTTTGGTGACAAACGAGCACGCAGTCCACCTGATGGTAAGTGGTTGCTGTGACCCATAGACATCTACATTTCTCCTCAATAAAGAATCAAAATGCAGATGTGTTGTCACCTGTGAGGACTAAGACGGAATGCCTCTTTTCCAGTAAAATGGATCTCCGGTTCTCTAAACTCACCATACTAAACACAGCAGTGTCAAGCTGCCATTTTACTCTGGTATTCTGTGAGAGCGTGGTCCTTCCCCGGTCGAGCCGACCCATTCGTGCTGCAACTATACTACTAATATAGCTCTAACATGGCTCTACCACGTAAAAACTGACTTTCGGGGTTGTCGGCTTCGCAGATGAGGAGTTGAGAACTGAACAGGCTCCAAGCTCAGTAGCATCTATAGAAATGTACAACGTTCTTGGAACTGCTACGGAGCTCGTTCAGTCATTCATTCAGATCTCGGTTGCGGTTGCGGGGCGTTAATTTAAAAAAATAACATTTTCAAACTATTAGCTCTGATCGGTATAAAACTTGGCCAGAATATTTTTTGGCACGTTAAAAATTACCAAGAACGGATTTCATGAAATTCCACCCACAAAGGGCAGTGCGGGGGCGTTAAGAATAATATTTCTTGTACTATTATTTATTCTGTGATAATCTGATAATCTATATCTCTACAAATAAATAAAATTGAAGTGTCTGTTTGTAATTTCAAAATAACATCTTATTACTAAATGCATATGAAAGTATATACGGTACTTATAATAAAAACTCAATTTGTAAAATTTTTGTCTGTCTGTCTGTCTTTCTGTTTGTTCCGGCTAATTCGATTTTGACGGGACTTTCACTGGCAGATAGTTGATGTTATAAGGAGTAACTTAGGCTACTTTTATCTTAGAAAAAGAATTAGGGTTCCGCGCAAAAAAAAATTAAAACCTAAATTACACGCGGGTGAAGTAGCGGGGAACAGCTAGTATATTATATAATTCTTCTGTCCGTGTGTATGTGATTGGACTCCCCCTAAACGTCTGGACCGATTTTGATGAAATTTTGTGTGTGTGATTAAGTTGATTCGATAATGGTTTAGCTTCACAATTGAACCTGGTAGGTGGCGCTGGTGTCGAGATCCAGAAATCTTACGTGCGAAGCTGGGGCGGACCGCTAGTATTAAATAATAATACTACTTACAATCTAAGAATGTTTTTCTTATAAAGAATGCAATGTCAACTACCTCTTGTTATTGTAGGCATCCTAAAGAATACCATTGCGCACGAAATCGACTAATCTTTTACGATATACGGTCATCGATCGTCTCAATTACGAGTATGTGTACACGGTACAATTCAGTTCAATTACTCCGCATTTAGGTCATGCAGGACGCACCCATTGTCTTTGTTTCTATTTCGTGTGGAAGCACAAATGGCAATTTCGAAACTTTATAATATTTTGACATATGAAAATCCATTAGCCCATATCGTTCCGTAGAAGTCGTAAGAGATGAGAGAGAGAGAGGGAAACTGAAACAGGAGATGGGCATCAACATCTTTTTGATAACAACTCCAATAAATAAAAGTTTGGTAACTGAGGCAAAAATTTCCCCAATGAGGTAATCTATGGAGACCTACGTTTAGTATTAGACTTTAGATAAGCTGTTATGAATTAAAGAAAAAATTATGCCGTTAATATAAGGTCGGGGAAAAAGTTCCTTAGTATTTTATATACAAATTCAAGACATATAAAATTTTCCTAATAAATTAAAGTTACAAAAATTTTATTATAATATCTTGTAGGTAGTGACATAATCACGTTGCTGTAGAAATTTTGAGATTTTTGATCAAGAAAATGCGACAAGTAGTTTTAACAGTCCTCTCTCTATGTTAACCTAACATTACCCAAGGAATTCTGAAGATACCGAAACAGGTGAAAATCTGAGGGTGCTAGGTCAGAACTAAAGAGTGGATGCATTAACACATCGCAACCAAGCTCTCTCAATTTTTGCTGACTGGCCAAAGACGTTATCATGATGAAAGACCACTCCTTTTCTGTTGATCAATTCCGAACGTTTTTTCTCAGTTTCTTGCTTGAGTCTCATTAGTTGCTTGCAGTAGAGATCCGAATCGATGGTTTTGCCAGGCAGTAAAAGCTTATAAGAAACTAGCCCTTCCAATCCCACCATACACACAACTGTTACGTGTTAATCCAGGTTTCGCTACAGTCTGTTGAGCTTGACTGCCCTTCGCTATGATCTTTTTGAATCGACTATATCCGTATGAGGACGACCATAGCGAACGCTTGAACCAACTTTGTGCTACTCTTACTGACACTGCATTAGGTCCATAAACGTCATAAATTTGTTTCGCGGTTTGAGTCGCATTTTCCCTTTTTTTAATAAAAATTCAGAATGTATAGAATTTCTTCGTTAGATTCACTTATTTTGGCGGACAGAAAAACAATTGAAAAATGGCGGGAAAGTGTTTTTTACTTTTTGTTTTTCTTAATGTCCTATAAGTATTGATATTGAAACCAGCCAGATACAAACAGTAAAACCAAAGAGATTTTTCTTCAATTTTATACAAACAAAATACGATAAAACTTTTTCGCCAACCTGTTATTCCAATCATTCATTCATAACACCCTTAAACCTAGATCATTCGATAACGATTTCATTTCATTGAAGCCTAACAAAATCCACTGATAAACATAGGCCTTCCCATACATTGCTTCATCGGGGGGATATTTGCTATAGTTATCACGTTTAGCAGGGGGTTATTGCATGCCTTATGCGCAAAGCGCGTAGATATGTTTCTACTAGCGCCTAAAAATCAAGATTCCAACGTTTTGTCGCATAAAATCGTATCTAACAATCATATTGAACGTATTAATTATATAAAAAGCACATTTTCAGAAAGACAAATGATTGTTGAACTTATTAATATATTTTTTATGCCGATTAATTGCTATTTTT